GGAGAGATGGCTTAAGAGGTTGAGAGCACTGGCTGTTCTTCCAGAGAACCAGGGTTCTAATCCTAGCACTCTTGTGGTGGCTTACAACCACCTAGAATTCCTATTTTTGGGGTCCAGTGCCGTCTTCTGGCCTTTGTGGGCTCCAGGCACACGTGGTACACAGACATATGCATGCAAGTAAAGCACCGATGTACATAAAAAATTAAATTAAGACAATGCTTGGGCATTGAAAGAGGAAAGTGGAGAGTTAGTCTAAGCACTCAGACCCCAGATGTTCCTGACTAGTTTAAACAAGCTGTGCAGCGGGAATCCCAGTGGACAGTTATTTAGGTACTGGCCTCCCTCCTTCATAACCAAGTACCAAAAGCAAGCCACTCCACCTCTCTGGCACCCCCTAAAAATGTGCAGATGTGAGGGCGGGGAGTCCTTCTCCACTCTTTTCTGTCTCCTTTTGGACCTCATGAATCTGTTGGCTTTAGTGAGGCCCCTTATACTGGGGTGGCATTAATCGAGGCTCTTTTTAGTTTCAGATGACCCCGTACAGCTGCATTTGACTGGTCCTCTTGGAGGGTCTATGGTTACTGTGTGCCAATCAAACACTGAAGTTGAAACTCTGGCCAGTGCTGAATTGTGCAAGAGTGCACTCTGATCCCCCCGTGCGTGTTCCTCGCTCGAGTTTCCTAGCAGCCAGTTTCACAGAAGCAACGCTAAGAGCACACTAAATTGTCGTTCATTTCAAATGCAGACTCTGTCGTGTTTTTATCACTTGAATGGAGGACGGACCAGTGACATTCAGGCTAGGAAGGGACACCAAGATCACAGAGCCAGGCTCTCCAACTCCTTTATATTTCTCTCCTAATGGGAAGTCCTTCCTTAGGCCGTCCCTGAGACAGTCTCTCTGCTGACAGAGAGCTTTGCACGCTCCGTGGTTCTTACAACATCATACTAAAGCCCCTCACGGCCACACACAGCGAGGCTGATCCCTGGTCTGAATTTCACATTCAAACCCTTTAGTTCCATTCAGCTCACATTTCTCTCATGCCCTGGTTTTCAGTCACTGTCCTCAGCTGTGCCTGCAGCTTTGGTGTCTGCATTATCTGCATGATGCTGCGTCCGTGACCATGCATCTGTGTGCAGAGATCAGCGTGGAGGTATCTAAGCCTTTCTCCCAGAGTCGCCCGGAGTAAGTGGTGTGCACCTCCCTATGCCGAGTTTCTCAGAGGGGAGCAAAGATGGCTGGAATGTTTGATGAATTCACATGGCTTTTGTAACAAGTGAGAGCAAACTTAATAACCATCTTGCAATTGTGCGGGTCAGATGTTTGACATGGTCTCATGGGCATGGACAGCCCGTGTTCCTGTCCTCGGGCTCCAGGGAAAATCTGTTTTCATGTCGTTTCCAGCTCCCAAGAGTGTTCACCCCCCCCCCCTTTTCAAATCTGGTTGCCTTTCTCCAGTCCTTGCTTTGTGTTCACATTTTCTCTGATTCTTTTCTTCTGCTGCCTTCTACTCCAAGGGCCTTCGTGGTTGTGCCTAGCCCACCTGGATATCCTGGGGAGCATCTAGGTCTGTCGCTGCCTCAATCCCCTAGGCAGCCCTAATGTGCCTTTACCACATGAGCAAATATACCCATGGGTTCTTGGACTAGGGTGTGAATGGCTTTCAGGTCCCAGGATTTTCAGTGCCATGCCCAACATGTCCTGTGTACACGAAGCAGAGTTCTTGTGAGTGTGCCCTTGTGCTTACTGGTGCTCACGCGTGTGGAGAGTACAGGTCAGTGCCGTGCCCTCCCCAGTCATTCTCCATATTATTTACGTATTTACTTATATTTATCATGTGTTAGTGTGTGTATGTGCCACAGGATATGTACGGAGCTCAGAGGACAGCTTGTGAGGGTCAGTTCTTATCCCCCACCAAGTAGGTCCTGGGGATTGAACTCAGGTCTTCAGATTTGGTGGTAAGCACCTTAAAACTGTCAAGTCATCTTGTCAGACATCCCCTTTAGTTTTTTACGATAAAGTCTCTCCCTGAGTTTGGAGCTCTTTGATTTTGCCTGACGGATTGCCAGAGTTCCAGGCACCTTCCTGTTTCTGACCTCTCAAGGTTAACGGATGGGTGCTGTTAGGTTGGCACTGAGGATCTAAACTTGTGAACTTGTGCTTGTGAGGCTGAAGCCTTTCTAGACTGTCTGCTTCCCCTTGGCAATCAGTCTCTTTGCAAAATGTGCACAGAAGGTTTGTTTCAGCCCCCCCCCCCCTTTTAACTGTGCCCAGCACTGGTGCCTGCTACTCAGGTGCCATGTCGAGAATGTGGAGATCAGCCAGAAAATCATTTGCTCAGATTTCTTGTACTAAGTTCAAGAAACTGAGGCTGACATACCTCTTAACTCCATTTATTTATTTTTTTCCTGATAAAGTTCATAAATTAATGCTAAGTCTGTAAGGTTCCAGGCTCGGTTATGTGTTGAGAGTCTATTACCCGAGGGCGTAATTGGCGGAGATAAAGGGCGGTGGAGATGCTAACAGCGGTAAATGATGTGGGCAGAGTGGGAGGCTGTAAAATGTGCAACAGGCCCCCAGTGAGGAAGGGGCTGGGAGGAGGTGAGGGGTGTGCTGTGTCAAGGTTATAGTCACATTCTGAGGGCGACAACCATCTTGGCAGTTGTTGGGTTTGCGTCAGTGTAGAGAGGTGGGTGACTTTCCCAAAGTCACACGAACCAAAGATGTTTTCTTCCCATGGGTCCATGAGTTTCTCTCGCAGGACAGAGGAAGCACTTCTCTGTGTGTTGTTGGTAGACTGTGGAGGCCAGCCACTCCAAGTGTGTGGCATCGTTTGGGTGCATTCATTGTCCTGAGAAATGCAAACCCTGACTTTGTTTGCTCTGAACATTTCCCAGTGGACAATCGGACCCCACATCTCTCTCTCTCAATTATAAAGTCTGTTATTCTATTGCCGAAAGGATTTAAGGTAGCTGACAACAAAGAGAGAGATAAAAGAAAACTGAAACCCTAAAACGGAAGAATAAAAAATGGAGCACAAAACTCCACATGAGAGTCAGGAGGGACCTTGTACTGGGAGAGCGTCTCTGCAGGCCCAGAGGCCTTTGCTAAGAGGTTGACATGTTTGTGTTTTCCAGGTCTTTCTCTGCTTCTCGCTTCTCTTTAAGCTTGATAGTTTCTGAACACAGGTTGACTGCCCTTATCCCAAATTCCAAAATCCAAAGTGCTTCAAAAATCTATAAGTACTGGACTCCTGTCTGAGGTCACCTCTGACCTCCTGTAATGACAGTCAGGATTGAGGTATAAAATGACCCTCAATAAATGGATCTTGTATCTAGACAATATATGGTGCTTGCCAGAGAGCCCCAAGGTGACCTTGTCACCACAGAGCCACCGTGGATGGGGAATACTTTCTTGAAACTGACAATAGATTTACTGAGTCCAAAGTATTTTCTGATTTAACTGTAGTTCCTATAGGACTTGGGAAATGCCTTTGCTGAAGTATGTAAGCGCCGTTCTAGCCACAGAACATCAGTTACCTAGTTAACAGCCCAGGCAGTCAGAAGCTAAGTGCTCTCTAACTCTGGGCTTCTAGCTTTCCACACATGATTCACATCTTAGATCAAAGAGTGGATTTCTTTTCACAGATCACAGGCTAACGTGAGTGATTAGCTTCAGCAGGTTCGGCGTCCTGGCAGCCGCAATGCTAAATGCAGGCAAGGGCAAGGTTTGTTGTGTTTAAAACCGGTTCTCTAGTATCCCAGGCTGCCCGCAAACTTGTCACGCGATTGAAGATGGCTTTGAACTCTGACCCTCTGGCTTCCATCTCTCCTGTGCTGGGATCGTAGGCATGTGCCGTCACGCTAAGCTTGTGTGAAGCTGGGGAAGGAACCCAGTCCTTTGCGCATGGTGAGCATGCGCTCTACCGACTGAGCTGCCCCTCAGCCCCATGGGGCTTACTGCTAGGAAGGCAGGACTTCTCTGGGGGCGGACGTTGTGCTGGATGCCTTTTCAGGTGACTTTTGAAACCTCATAGCTGTAACGAAAACCAGCCTCGTCTTCAGACTCTTGGTTCCCGAATTTACTTCTCTGCTTCAGTTTCAGACTCCTTAGCGGTTGCTCTTGGCAGTGAGATCTGGGCAGCCGTTCCCTTCACGGCCTCTCGCATCCCTTACTTCAGCCACAGTAAACGCCAAAGTTGCCCAGGCCCGCTTTGTTTTTCATCCCAGGTGCCGGATGTCAGGTCTCAGAACAGCACTGGCCTAATTCTGCTGACCCTTGTCCCTGAATTCAGCAGAACCAAAATGCTTACTAACAACGTCTCCCTGTTAGCAGTGCTGAAACATGAGGGCACTTGAATACAGCGAATATCTTCAGCTGATGGGGTGGACAGAGCCTTTTGTAAACTTCACAACGTACTTGGAATCAAAGCAGACTCATTGGCTGGAATGTTGCTTGTGGCAGGTCTGCAGAGATGTCCTTCTGCATTTATGTCATCCCCGTGTGCATGAGTGTGTTTCCCTAGGGACCTAGGTGGCTTGTTTTAGTATTCTTCATTTTAGAGCAAATACTCATTTATTGTTACCTGTGATCCAGGATGTCCAGAGCAGTTTCACATGTTCTCAGAGTCCTGCTGGTGTAAAGTACAACACAGGAATTCCTACCCCCAGTCATTTGGGGAGCCGACCGTGAAGCTGGAGGAAGAGCAAGGCAAATAATCTCAAGCCACATATGCTTGTCTCTTTGGGAACACAACCATGCAGATGAACATCCAAACAGTTGCCCTGTAATCCCAAAGAGTGATTAATATCATCATCCATTTCTACATTACAAAAGCATGGTTGTATTTTCAGTAGGATCTTTTTTTTTATTGGCCTGAAATTCTCTCCAGGCTATCCAGAAGGCTGCATTCCACCGGCTCTCTTAGCCACAGTGTCCCACTGAAGCTCGCGGTGAATCCTCTGCTCGGCCCACTAACCTTTCTGCTCCTTTTTCATTTCAGCATTTCTCAAGAACTTCCGCAAGAATAAAGAAGTGGTTCCGACTCCTGGTAAGAGAATGCACTGTAGGTGATCGATCATTTGCGCTGCTGTTGCACACGACATAGGTGTGGGGCGGGGGAAATATCTGGGGACCTTCTGAGCGTCCATATTGGGTCCTTCGGAGAGTCTGCCCCAGTAGGAATGATTACAGTGAGGTTGCTTTATTCCTTGCCATCTCTGGATTTCCCTCATGACTGCCTCCCATGAGGAAGGTTTTTTTCCAGCTTCAGATGCACTGGGCTCCCCTTGCTGTACGTGCAGCTTGCCAAGCCGTTCTCTGGATGGCGGTCATTAAGTCATTTGACAAGTACCATCTACCAGTCAGTTCAGTTCAGTTCAGTTTAGGTTAACATGCTTTGCTCATTTATTTTGAAATTTCACTGCATTTACCCTGACAATATTTTAAAGAAAGTACTAGAGAAAAATCTACCGAGGGTGGAAGTGAGCTTAGGATCTAGGTGGGAAACCTCAGGTGAGTCCGTGCCCCTGGTGCGCTGTAGGTCACGGCCTTGGCCACAGATAGAAACTGCTTAGACTATAGGCTGAGTCATGAAAGGAAATGGCATAGAACACATAGGCAGTGCCTGGAGCAGCTCACGGATGGTTGAGTTGGAAAGTCAAGGCGAGTGCCAGGACCTTGAAAGTGCTCTTCACTATATCTTCACATAGCACGGATATTGTGCCAAGCTAGTATTTTGCATCTCTATTTTGCTATATTAATTGCTTTATCCATATAAACACATTTTAATGTCTTCATTGTGTTTTGATTTTGCTCATTCTAATGTCTTGTGTCTTTGGGAAGGGTCTATGTAAATGGGATGAGGGAACTTCTGATTCAGTCATGATTTATTCCTTTATATTTTCATTTACTGAATAGTCTGAATTTCTTCCATATGCCAGTTGGGTGTTTAAGGAAAAGCATGCGTAAGATACTGCTCCTGCCTCAGTTGCTTACTGCCTGGGGTCCGCCACAACCTTTATGTGGAGTCCCAGCTGCATTCACTAGGGGCCAGTGAGGAGCCAGGGACCAGGCACAACTTCTACCCTAGGTCTGACTTCTACCTGGCTGATAGTTTTAGATGGCATAAGAGAGTCTTTATTAAAAAAAAAGACAGTCTTTGTTTTCTTCCAAACTTCTGATTCATGAACTTAATTTTTATTATTTAAGCTTTTATAACAATGTATGTATGTATGCACTATGTATATATTTTCACTATTTAAGCTTTATAACAATGTATGTATGTATGCACATATGTATGTGTTTTCACTGTTTAAGCTTTTGTAATCATGGACACTGTATCATGTAAGCATTTGTTTATTTTTACGGTTAAGCTTTTATAATAATTGGTCTTGTGTGATGTAAGCATTGATATTCTTCTACTCAGCAAACTTAGCCATTTGTCACCATATGTCTACAGTCCTGTAGATGTGTGTTTTCCTCTCTGTTTTCCAAGAGAGAATTAACTGAGACGAAGAAAAGGAAGTGGGCCTTGTCTAAGGCTATTTTGAATGCAGGATTCCCATGCCATCATTGCCCTTTAACACAAAGCCCGTTACAAGGTGCCCATTGTGGACTGAGATGTGTGTTGACTGTCACATGTGAACACGACACAGTCCAGGGTTCTGAGCAAGCTCATGTGTGTCAGAGTGGAACTCGGGTGTGGAAGGTTACCTGTACTAAGTGAGAATGTAGAGAAATCGGGGGGATGCCTGGAAACAGAGCACAGTCAGAAGACTGCACGGCCAGGGCCTGGAAGGAGGCATCAGGATGCAAGACTTCCATAAAGGATGACTGTGAGCAGCCAGCCAGGAGTTGCCAGGCAGACACTGTGGAGAAGGGGCTGTGGGCAGAGGAATGGGGGGATTAAGGTTCATTGCAAAGCTACAGCAGATTTTGAGAGGTGTGTGACTCATGGATGAATGGAGTCAAAGGATGGTGTGTGGGGAAGGAAAGGAACATAAAGGTGATAAAGCAGGGCTTGGCTCTTGGGTCATTTGTGCCAGTGATGGAGGAAGGCTGAATTGCACTAAGGAATAGTAACCCCTACTCCCAATGTCCCAATGACTCTATATGCCAGAGCTTGCTTGCTTGCTTGCTTTCTTCTTTCCTTTCTTCCTTCCTTACTCCCTCCCTTCCTCCTTCCCTTCCTTCCTTATTTCCTTTCCTTGCTTGCTTTTTGGTTTTTCAAGATAGGGTTTCTCTATAGCTTTGGATCCTGTCCTGGAACTAGCTCTTGTAGACCCGGCTGGCCTCAAACTCACAGAGATCCACCAGCCTCTGCCTTCTGAATGCTGGGGTTAAAGGCCTGTGCTACCACCGCCCAGCAACAGATCTTCCTTTAATGACCACAGAAAGCCCATTGTGGGTGGCAGCTCTACTAAGCTTCTCTCCTTCCCTGGTACATGACCCAGGTATCCTTGGTGTTATGATGTCATCCACCAGCACCTGGGCCTCCAAATATGATGTCAAATAGAGACCAATATAAGTTGAGTTCAAAAGGGATGAGTCATGGCTTGCATTCCTTTGGTTGGAACTACTCATCTGGCCCACTAAGATGTCGGTGGCTGGGAATGCAGACCTAGTGGCCCTCTGACCATGCCTGCCAGACCCTCATTTGCTATAAAGTCTTTTGTCTGATAGATAATGCTAAACCAGGGAGAGAGTTGACTAAAATTTTGTGTTGCTCAAAAGTAAAGGGAATACAGGAAGGCAACAGAGTATTAGGGTGCAACTCTTGTATTCTCTCAGCTGGAGATAGCTGGGCCAAGACAATGAAGCCACACAGGAGCTAGCAGGTTTCTGGAAATAGACTAGATGGTTCAAACTTGGCATGATGGAAATGAGGGGGCAGGAATGAAACTAGAGTTGAGGTTTCTGATTTGGGATTTGTAAGTTGCTTCTGAAGGTAAGGGGAACACTGTATCTTGATGGGAAGGTGGTTAGGTGAACATGGTGAATCTTCTGCATGTCAGTTGGGCTACCCAGCATCCCCCACATTCTATCAGGCTTGTCTTGGTCTTGATTTCCTCAGCTCCATTGTACTTTTTCCCTGTAGAAATGTGGTTGACTTATCTCAGGCGCGTGTGGTTTGTCAGGAAGAGCTGTTGTGCATAGGCTCCTTCCCTGTGCTGTACAGACTGTCTTGTTTGTGCCAAACACAGGCTCCAGATTCTCCTATGCTCTCATTTCTTTCCCTTTCATTTAATAAAAGTGCCTTCCCTGTCTCAATAACACACAGAAAAAGCAAGTCTTTCCATAGCTGTTCAGTTTTCAATGATCAACAGATTATATCTGTGTCGTTTATATCTGGTGACATGTCCTTTGTTCCCTCTTCTCAGGCATCTCTTCTCTCCTTTATATACTTGTTTGAGATTGTGTTTTTACATGAGAACAAATGTTGACTCAATCAAAAGGACATTTAAGGTTTAATGCCCTGTGTGAAAATGATTTTCACTCTCATTACTAAATCCTTGATATTATGATAGGAACAATTGTCTGTGATTTGTTTCAGTTGGTTCAAATGACTTCTATGTTTATTGGTAATTTTGTCTTATTTTTTTACTGAAAAAAAGAAAAAGAACAACATGACATTCTAGAAGAAAAACACATACCTGCACTGCCAGAAACCCAAGTAGAAGCAGAAGTTCAAAGAGAGCCACCAACGAGACATGAATCACAAGAAGAGTCATCATTGGCACAAAACCAAAGACCTGAGCAACAAAATTCCTCTATACAATCATCCTCGGGACCACCATCCCCAGAACAACAACTTGAACAACAAGAGATATCTAGACAGTTATTTTTGAGACCTCCATCCCCAGAGCAACAATTTGAACAAGAGGTATCTAGACAGTCATCCTTTGGACCATCATCCTCAGAGCAAAAACTTGAAAGACGAGAAGTATCTGGACAGTCATCCTTGGGACCACCATCCCCAGAACAACAACTTGAACAACAAGAGATATCTAGACAGTTATTTTTGAGACCTCCATCCCCAGAGCAACAACTTGAACAACAAGAGGTATCTAGACAGTCATCCTTGGGACCATCATCCTCAGAGCAAAAACTTGAAAGACGAGAAATATCTGGACAGTTATCCTTGAGACCACCATCCCCAGAACAACAATTTGAACAACAAGAGGTATCTGGACAGTTATCCTTGGGACCACCATCCCCAGAACAACAATTTGAACAACAAGAGGTATCTGGACAATTATCTTTGGGACCACTATCCCCAGAGCAACAATTTGAACAAGAGGTATCTGGACAGTCATTTTTGGGACTATCACCCCTAGAGCAAAAACTTGAACAACAAGAAGTATCTGGACAGTCATCCTTGGGACCACCATCCCCAGAACAACAACTTCAACAACAAGAGTCTTCTAAAGAGTCACCTTTGAGACAACTTTTAGAGCAACGACCTGCCCAATGAGAATCTCCTAAATAGACATCTTTGGGACCACCATTCCAAGATCGTCCATCCAAACAATGGGAATCCTGTTGACAGTCATCCTTGAGATAGCAATCTCAGAAACAGATGACTCTGGGGCAACGCACAAGACAAATACCATGATAACAAAATATCAGCCACGTCGTGAAGAGCGACTGTCAGAAACTGGACAGGACCACAGGGAAATGAAAATAAAATTAAACAGTTTATTTTCATATTATGCTGAGGTATGCCAGTAGGGTATTACAGTTACGAACATCATATTTTGAAGGCCAGACTTAAAGTTTAAAAGATGAATAAGAATAAATTAATCTGGAATCCCTTTCTCTGTTTTCTGATTAGAAAGGTAGAAGAGGACACTTATCTAGACTTAGTGTGTCTAGCTGCCTGGAGCAGACCATTCCTTTCTAGCAATATCAGCCCACACTACATATCTCTGAAGTACTCACCAGCTTGAGACTAGACCACAGAATACATAGCTTTCCAGAGTTAATTCTTCCTACTTAAAGCATCTCCAAATACTTAAACATACGCATTTATACATACAAATACATCACATGTACATGTATGTCCTATAAATATCAGGAGTAGATGGTTGAATTGTAGTAGTTTTAAGAACCTAAAGCATCTTCAAATACTTACACATATGCATTTATACATACAAGTACAAAACATTACACATGCACATATGTCCTATATGCGTTAGGAGTATTTGGTTGAATGTGTTGGTTAGAAGAATGGACTCTCAAGTCAGACTGTTCTTGTTTGGCTTCTACGCTCATTACATGTTTGAACTTCATCCAAAATGGGGGCTAATGATATACCTGACTTGTAGATTGCTGGGATAATAGACTTACCAGAAAGCACTTAGTTCCAGACTCGTGGAAGACACAAAACATGTGAGCTGTTGCCATCACATCTCTTTGATGGTTGTCCTTTTTGTTAGTTTGCTGGAGAAAACAAATAGATTATTTTATCTAGATGCTAAGGCAGTTACTGCATTTGGCTCTTCTGGTAAACTGGTTTTTTTTTTAAAACTATAAAGTAAACAGAACTGTCACAGCTTTTAAATGAGATCTTTAGAAAATTGCACTTATTTATGTGCACGTGGAGGTGAGAGGACAGCTTGCAGGAGTCAGTTTTCCCCTTTCACTGTGTGGTCCCTGGCATGGCGCTCAGGGCAGCAGTCTTAGCAGCAAGACGTTGACTCATGGAGCCGTCCTTCTGGTCCTGAAACCCAGCCTTGAGGACTGGAAGCCTCCTTAAGAATAGTTAATTCTATTACATATTTTATATATATATAAAAATTATTATTATATTGTTATAATAATAACATATAATATATTATTATATTGTTGTAATATAATATATATAACATAATATATTATATTGTTATAATAATATATAATATATTATTATATTGAAATTATATATATTCAATAGTAGACTATTGCTTACTGTGTTCAGTTTCCTGGTGTGGGGCTCCAAGGAAGCATCGGATACACCTTTAAGGGGATATTAGTAACTAAGTAGACACCACCTCTATCCTATGCTCCTGGTGTTGGCTAGCCAGTTCTGTTTCCAGCAGAGAGTTGAGCTGGCTCCACTTCGGATGACGCCTGTCAGTGACTCCTCTCTAGTTGTTTTGTGATAGCGACCACCATGAGTCAGAAGCTGAAGAAAGTACATCAGGGTAACAACTGGGTGTGAGCGCCCCTTCCCACCCTGTCAGTCAACCGCATAGACTAGAACCTTTCCCTTCCCTTTGCTGTATCTGGATGCAAACTGAAGACCCCACAGAGTTTACAGTTGTCATTGTGCCTGAGGGTCCCGAGTGGGGGACGGGCTTGTGCGAAGGTCCCGTGGGTCATAGAGTTGGATATTTTGCTTTTCTTCAAGTTTTCATCTCAGGTTTATAATAATGACAAGCCTTTTGGATAAGTCTAACAAAGTGAAGCATGCACTGAGGTGAAGTAGGGGTTGCATGAATGCTGGGGATATTTAATTAACAGAAAACAACTATTGTGTCCTGTGGGGGCTTAGTTCTGGAGAGGTCTGTGTATGGATGAAGCAACCAGAGGGGACATCCTAGAGGGTTACTCAGTATTGTCAACGAGCAAAGAACACAACCAGAACACAGTGTCTTGGTGCCATTGAAAGCTGAAAGCCTGGGTCAGGCGGGTTAGCTTCCTGTTCAAATGCTTGGGTCCAGAAGCATCCATAGTAAGAAAGGACAATTTATGCCAGTCTCCACAGAGGAGGAGAGTTCACACTTAGCCTTCTCAGCAGCTTCCCGAACCCTTTGGAGTGCCATGTTGTCTTTGGTGAAATCAACCCGTCTCCCTCTTGAACTCCCTCTTGACAATGTGCTGTAACAAAGCCTGGTCAAAGTCTTCATTGCCTAAGGAAGCGTCCCCATTGGTGGATTTCACCTCGAGCACTCCTTCCACAATTTCCAGGATAGAAGTATCAAAGGTTCCACCACCTAAACCATACACAGCAGTGACTTTTACTTCAGATTGTCCGGACCATACGCCAGGGCGGCAGCTGGCAGCTGGCAGCTGTAGGTTCACTAATCACTTGAAGTACATTTAGCCCAGCTATCTGGCCAGCATCCTTAGTGGCCTGTTCCTGTGAGTCATTGAAATAAACAGGGACTGTGATCACAGCTTTTTTGTTGTTGTTGTGTGACCCAAGTACTTTTCCGCAGCCTCATCTTCATCAACACAAATGCTCCAATCTGACTAGGAGAAGAGTTTCCCATGAGCCTCAACTCAGGAATCACCATTAGAGGCATGGACAATTTTAAAGGGAATATTTTTGGCGTCTTTCTGTACATTGGGGTCATCATAGCGCCGCCCAATCAGATGCTTGGTAGCATAGAAGGTGTTGTTTGGGTTGATGACAACCTGTCGCTTTGCTGCCATGCCAACAAGTTTGTCTCCAGCTGCTGTAAAGGCAATAACAGAAGGCGCAGTTCTGGCACCTTGAGCAGTCTCCAGGACCTTTTCTTGTCTGCCCTCCATAACCGCCACACAGGAGTTGGTAATACCCAAATCAATACCCACAACTGCACCTTTAGTTACCTCTGATCTGGTGATAGGCGGCCACCAGACTCCAGGAGGCTGCGGTGCCCATGCCCACGCCACTTATCATGGCGGCTGGATGGAGGGGACATGAGAGCAGAGAACAAACACCCCACAGGTCCCGAGTTGCTACTGTAGCCTTCTTAAGGAGGAAGGGTTCAGGCAGTTCACGCTCTGTGACTGACCGCCGACTACATATGCCTTTAGGTCTGCTTGCCATTTCCTCTCCCGCCTCTTCTCTTTCCCCATTGCCCTCAGCTTCTTAAGAGTCACCAAGGGTCTTATATAACAGAGCATTCTCACTACCAGGTGAGACTCCACACACAAGGCACCTGGTGCAGCTTTGACTGTGGGCTGCCATGCACTCTTCCTGTATGGCTGTCCAAGGGGGCACTATGAAAGGAGATGGAGCAGAGCTGAGGGGTGGGGTGTGCATGCCAGTCACCTTCTGCTGCCACAACAAGATGCCTGAGCTGATCCACTGAGATGGAGAGAGGTTATTTTGGCTCACAGTTTCAGAGGAGCCAGTCTGTGGTTTGATCCTGCGGCATCACGATGCATCACAGGATGGATGCGTGGGAGAGAGGAGAGTAAAGAAGGGGCTGGGGTTACAGTCCTTGTTTGAGGGCACACTGCAGTGTCCTCACTTTCTCCCGTTAGGTCACATCACCTTCATATTCCACCACTTCCTAAGAGCACCATAAGATGGTGACCAAGCCTTTAATATAGAGGGACACTAACAAATCACAGTGTCCAAAAGGAAGAGACTGCAGTGTAACATGAGGGGCCGGCTTGTTCGTGTATCTGTCCCGCCCAGCACCCCACAACCGGCATACCCCAAAGAAAATCATACAGAGGACTCCATAAGATTATAAAACGGATTGACCTATTAGCTCAGGCTTCTTGTTAACTCTTGTAGTTTATATTAACCCATTATTCTAATCTATGTTAGCCATATGGCTTGGTACCTTTTTCAGATGTCAGCTCACATGTTGCTTCTTCGGTGATCTGGGAAGGAATGGTGGAGGGAGCTTCTTGCTTCCCAGAATTCTCCTATTCCCATTGCATCTTCTCTACTTCCTGTCTGGTTTTCCCACCTATACTTCCTGCCTGGCCAATCAGCATTTATTTAAAATATGATTGACAGATTATAGACAATTCTCCCGCACCACTGCAGATGACAGATGCATCCAAATGTCCAACAATCATGCTACAAGACAAAACCAGCATGAAACAGGTAAATTAGTTAGAAAATGCTACATTTTCTTCAATGCCACAGACCAAAGTATTATTTAGATGTGCATGCAGAATAAAAATAGAGACAATCCCCTCTCACTCTGTACTAGGCTTTCAAATCTGGTGTGTATTTTACATTGACAACAGAACTCACTAAATTATGGTGCCGCATGGTCAGTGGCTTGTATAGCAGTCTTCACTCCCCTAGATCAGCCCTATGTGATCTTGAGTTGTGCTGTGTTTGGGCACCCAGCCCAGGTCGGATGGTGAGGTGGAACTGAATGGCTGAGTCCACCTTTGTGAGGTTGTACGGTTAGCAGAGCATGCAACACAGTGTCTCTACCTTACTGTGCACCACTCAGAAGGGTCCCTGTATCAGTCAAGGTTCTCCAGGGGGAGCATTACTTACTGAAAAATATATATTACAAAGGGGATTGATTACATTGGGATACACACTTTGTGTTAGATAGCCCAATGATAGTTATCTGTTAGAGAGACTAAGACCCCAGGAGTTGCTCAGTCCATGTAGCTGGGTGTCTCAGCAGTTCCAATTTGGTGCTGAAGGCTTGGAGGGATCCTGGAGAGCCACAGGTTGTCCAGATCATGGTGGAAGGCTGAGGCAGGAGGGTTCTGATGTTATCAAAGAAAGGATGGTATTGCCAGGTGGTGGTGGCCCACACCTTTAATCCCAGCATTTGGGAGGCAGAGGCAGGCAGATCTCTGTCAGTTTGAGGCCAGCCTGGTCTACAGAGTGAGTTCCAGGACAGGCTCCATAACTACTGAAAAACCTTGTCTCAAAAAACAAACAAACAACAAACAGAATGAATGGCATTGACAGCAGCAGCAACAGAGTAGATGCACACACAAGCAGGGAGCAAAAGCTGGTAGGCAAAAGTAACATTTCTGTCCTTCATAACTCTTTATAGGTAGGCTACAGCCAGAAGGAGCCACCTGTTCTTATCGGAGCCTTTCCCCTGAGT